CCATGCGTTTCGTTCTTCTCCACCTTCTTCGTCTCCACCTGCGGGCAGGCCGTGGTTCAGGAGCGCACCAGCCGCTGCGCCATCATCGTGGCGTCTCTTTGCGAGGCCCAGCAGCTGGTGGAGAACCTTCATGCGGCGAGACTCCGCGCGTGTTCCGCGGCAACGAAAATTCAAAGGCAACGTGGGTTTGTGTTGTGTGTGTGTGGCCTTCTTGCGTGCTTTCTTGTGTTGCATGTGTTTTTTTGTTGTGTGTGTGTGCGTTTGTGCGTGTTTTTTGTGTGTGTGTGTGTGCGTGTTTTTTTTGTTTTTTGTGTGTGTGTGTGTTGTGTGGCCGTTTTTTTTTTTTTTTTTTTTTTTTTTGTTTTCTCGGTGTCCTTTTTGTTCTGTTGGTTGTCTTGGTTTGTGTGCGCGTGTGTGTGTGACTGTGTGTGCGTTTTTGTGTTGCTGCTTTTTGTGTGGCAGTTTTGTGTTGTTTTGTTTTTCCCTGTTTTTGTGCTGCTGTTTGTGTGATTGTGTGTTGTGCAGCTTTTGTTTTTGTTCGGTGGCCTTTTTGCAGGTACGTTATGGCTATTTGGTAATTGTTTTGTGGACTGAACAAGTTGAACTAAGTTGTTGGTCAAACAACTCGGATTCTCCATTGGACCCACACAAATGTTAACAGCAACCAAGGCTAGCCCTTAGTTGGTGGGTTGGAACTGCAGGTTCGAGTGAAACCAAACGGACAAGGTACCGCCTAGCGTCCAACCCACCCTCCTTACTTGCGCCAAACGAATCAACCTGACATGACCTTTTGGGTTTCCTGATTTGGCAACCATGTTTACTCAAGGTTCCAACATGTTACCTTGTTACTGTTCAGTCCTTCACTTGAAGCTCCGCTATTTGAGCTTGTTCTCTTTTTTGAAGGTTGCCCAGTTGTGTTTCCTTTTTTTTTCCACCTTACTTGTTGGACTACCCGCTTGTTTGCGGGTGGTTCCACCCAGAAGAACCTCCAATAAATCATGTCCTTACTAGGATAACAGGGACACCACCCCTGATTAGTACTGTCTTCCGGATTAATCTGAAGCTACAATGAATGCCAACTCGATACTGCAAGGGAACCAAGGAAACTCGCAACATTCGACCACGGTTTGCAAGTTCGTTCACTTGCAATATTGAGCCGGCATGCACTGTTTCGGGCACCTTGTTTGGCTTTTTCCTGATTGTAAAGAGGGTCTTTCGGTTTTCGATGCTGGTCCATGTTTAGTCCAGGTTCCAAAAGCTTAACTTTGTCATGGCAAAGCCTTTCAGCAATTGAGGTTTATTGTGCGGCTCAGCTGCAATCAGAAGTCGACACGTCGCCTTTGGCGAATTCACTGCATGGTTGTTGGGTCTCCAAGGTTGGTTGACCCACAGGGTTCACACCAAGGAGTCATCTTCCCCAGAATTAGCTCCCCCTTTTCCTTTTTTTTTGGGGGGGGTCCCCTTTGTTTTCCACTAACCAGGCAAACAAGATATTTTTTTGCTGGGGTCCTAATTCCGGCCAAGACATATGGTGGTTCATACATTTAGCCTTTAGCCGACCCTGTTTGACGTTACCCTTCATTGGCGGTTTGGATAGGTTTGGGGATTACCCCTGGTAGAGGGTAACTGGGAAACCCCCTATCCTCCAAACCAACTGTCCGAGCTCCTTTAACGCCATGCTCGAACAAACATGTGCTACCGGAAGATGGAGGAGCCAGTTTTCAAGTTTCAGTCTGATCTCCGCAGTGTCTGGATATTTTGTCGTCCGGACTTCCCGGCGTCCGTTGCCCTGAGCAGAAGTGGCCCTTCACCCAGAAACTTGCAGATCAGTCTGCAAGGCCGACAGCTGCAAACTGGGTTTGGCTTCGGTTTCCTGAAGAGACTCACTTGCAACCAGAGTGAATCAACCTGAAAGGACAAATTTTGGGTCAAGACCAATGGGATCCCATTTTGGTGGGTAGGTGAATTCACCACCCCTTTTAGGTTACCTATTTTAGTGGTTGGATTGGGTCCCGTTCACCGGGACGGTTTGGATTTTGAAAAGCCCATGGCCACAATGATCAAGCCCTACATTAAAAGAAGACTCAAAGAGGCTTCAAAGAAACGGGATTTGGACTTGGAAAAGGCCATGGGCCATATCCCCCCCTAAGACAAAACAACAACCTCATTTTGACCAATAGCAGCCATGGCCAAATGACCTTTGGGTTGTCCTGTCCCATTTTTCGTCGCTTCAAGAGATGAAAACGTCATCATCCAGGCTCATGAGAGGTTGACGCAAAAAAACTGGGTGGCAAGCCATCTGGAATTTTGCCGCCCTCTCTCAGTTTTGGTCAGTGGCGCCCGATTTTTTTATGAGTTTTTTCCGCTTCTTTTTTTTTTGGGTGGCCCCACTAAAAATTTGGTCTTTGCAAGAAAAGGGTTCCGTTTCTCTTTTTTTCCCCAGGGTGGCTGAACAACTGAGCCTTGTGCTGGGAGCCGTGCCAAAGATGCATGTTTGAGAAACTCGAGGCCGGGTGATCACGTGCTAAGTAGCCCATATCGTTGATTTTGTCGCGAACTTGAATGGGGATCAACCAGAAGAGGGTTGCTTTAGCGAAACAGCTAGGCCCTTTGTTTGACGTTTGTTTTCAAACTAGTTGTTATTCCCAGATCGTCAGAAACTAAGTTCCCAAAAAAGGACGACACCGGATAGTCGTTGTTTCCAGTCCCTTCATATATGCGTCTACCCTTTGAGGATACTCTTTGCCGGCTTGCTTTTGTTTTTGAGTTGTTGATTGCGTGGAAGCCATAACTGGAAAGCCACCTTCTAACCCACAGGCACCCGAGAAGTTTCTGCTGCGATGCAATGCATGACACGCCAGCTTCTTGTGCCGAGGTGTTTGCTTGGTTTTCCTTTAAAAACAACCCAACAAGCGTTCCTCAAAAGCTTGCGGTTGGTGCGAGAGAGGCAGGGAATGAGAAATGGAAGGACCCCAACGAAAAACATCCAACTTGGTGGTGTCCTTCAAGGTGCCCGCTGAATTCACTCCCAGATTTTCTCCTGAGCAGAAAGCCAAAGACTCCAAAGTATGGGGGGTGTTTCTAGGGGTTGTTTCCCATTCTTTTCAACCATCTTTTCGAAAACCAGCCTTTAAAACCCTAGGCTTCAGGTTTTCTATCAATAAGGATCCCTGGAAAGAACACCTCGAGTGTTGCCAGCCGTTCCCTGCAACCCGCTCCTGCTACCAAAAGTTTTTGGCCCCCGCCCGAGGTGGGAAAAGCTGCAAGGTGGACCTCACAGCCTCAGTGGTGGTCTGCAACTACCAAGCCGCCGCTTTGCTGCGAGGCGTGACAATTTGGGGGCGGTTCGCCTTGTTTTTTTTTAGGATTTGAACCTCCCCCCGTAAAAAAAGAACAGAAAAGAAAACACCACTTTTCTGGGGGTTAAATCCTTTTCCATTCTTGTTGAAACATCGTTATTTTATCAACACCGGAGCCGTTTCTTTTGGGTTTGTTAGAAGTTTTTAGAAAGCGGGGATCCCTGGAAAGAATGGGGAGGGTACCCTTAGAACCCTATGTTTACCGTTAAGGGAATCCCTGGGTTCATTCCCAACACCTGGGTCATTCGCTCCTGAGCACCACCAAGACCTAATATCCCCACCCCATTTGAACATGGAATTGGGCTGAAATTCCATTTTTGGTTCGATTTGCTCTTCTCATGAAAGAAGCCTCCACCTCCCTCCCTCCTCAAGGTTGGGGGGATCCCCTAGTATGGGTAGATGAAATCCTGCACCACTTAAAAAACATGGGAAGCCCTTGTTCGTTGGCATTTGCAGAGGAATAATCATTCCAGGGTTTTTTAGGTGGTGCATTGGATGGATTTCGCAACCATCCACAGTATGTCAGAGAACGGCCTCTTGTTCCACCACCATTGGAGCATGCGCAGGCCAGCGCTTCCGCATTAAGCTGGTCGATTGGCGCGGGGTCGCAGTTGCCTCCCGCACCTTTGGAAAAGGAGGAGCACAGGACTTCAGGACGCCCCTTTTTCTTTTCTTTTTTTTAATGTTTCTTTTCTAGGTGGCTCCCAGCCATCCCCTTAGCTTTTTAGCCAAATAGAGTTTTCTGGGGGCTTCCGTTTAACCCACTATAAGTTAAACTTTTAGCAGGGGATCTGAGGGCAGCCCAGTTTTTGGATGGAGGGGGTACCCTAACTAGGTCCCCCAGTAGTGCCCTTTACCCTTTTTGGGGGTAAGGTCCCCTACTAAAATTGACTACAGAAAAAAGTTGGTACCCTGAATCTAACCTCTCTACTGGAGGACCTATTTTTGCAGGGAAGGGGGGTTTCCCATAAAGATCCACAACCAACACAAAGCGGAGTTTGGGTGTAAGGCTGTTTTGTGTTTTGCTTTCTTCTTTGGAGGGGTTTCGCTTTGAAACCAACAGACTTCCCACGTATTAACATGGAAGGCAAATGGTCTTCCAGGATCGCCTGTCAGGTTCCACGTTGATTAGTGAGAGGGTACACCAACGCAAAGGACTGGCGATTCGTTATTTTTTTTTAACACATGCCCAGTGGGGTTTGGGCGTAAGACTGCCCACGGGAAACCTGAAGCTATCTTGATGAGACGGGACCCGCCAGGGAGAAAGTTGGACTGTCTACTTTACGGGTTTCGAGCTGATCGATTTGATGGGTCTACTTTAATGTTGACCCAGGATTAGTAAACCCGTGCCATTATTAGGGGGTGTTCCCTCCAAAAGTGTTGAATCCCCACTAAACGGGGACACCCCCCTATTAATCAACCAAGGGTTTATTAATCCGGGGTTAACATTATGGGTTTCGAGCTGATCGATTTGATGGTTAGACGGCTCACAGTGGTGTATTATTGATTTCTGACTTCAGGTTTTTCGAAAGGATTGTGGCCACCCCAAAGCTCCCTAAAGGTCGCGCACCCAGTGCTCAGACTCAGAGACCCGGGTTCGTTTGTTAGTTTGTTTTAAGTTGGGCTTTGGTGATTGTTGCTCTCGTTTTGTTTTGGCCAATGCTCTACCCTTGTGGCAGGGTCTTCAGACAGTTAGTGAACGCTGGTGCCGCTGCTGCTGCTGCTGCTGCTGCTGCTGCTGCTGCTGCTGGTGTTGTGATGGTGGTGCTGCTGCTGGTGGTGGTGGTGCTGCTGCTGGTGGTGGTGGTGCTGCTGCTGCTGGTGCTGCTGCTGCTGCTGCTGGTGGTGGTGGTGGTGGTGGTGGTGGTGATGGTGGTGGTAACAAGTTTCGTTCATTCGAAAGCCACGGAAGTTGGACCAGAGGGAACATGTTAGGCTTACCCTGCAGGAAAGAGTCCTCCGCCAGCAACTGGGTTGCAACCGGTGCCGGGCCCTTTGTTCCCTTTTCGCCGTGTTTGCGTAGAGAATCTATGATGCGGTGAACGTTGCCCCCATATTAATCAACCCCTGTTTATTAATATGGGGGTGTCCCTGGTTTCAGTGGGGATTCATCACTTTTGGAGCGGAACAACCCCATATTAGTAAACTGGGGTTGACTAAAATGAGGCGAGCATGAAGAAGTTACCATACGGTCAGCCGACCCTGTACCACGTCCTTCACGTCATGGCCGGCCATTTTCCGGCACGCACGCCCTTGGGGATTCGCAGGGATAAGGCATACTAGGTCCCCCAGTAGTCCCCTTTCTCACCGTTTCTTTTTGGGGGGAGGGTTCCCCTAAACATGGTTGTTGTTGGGAAACATTTTACATTTTTGCTTATTGTGGTTTAGTGGTTGGAATCTAACCACTGAACTGCTAAAAAATCTGAGGATTTTTGCTCCCCAAACCCACCAACGTCAACCAAGTAAATAGACAAAAGAGAGAAAAGTTGGTACCAACTGATTCTAACCTCGCAAAACTGGAGGACCTAGTTTTGGAGGGAAGGGGGGGGGTTCCCACAAAGATCCACTACCAACGCAGAAAAAGGGGTACCCTTATTAATGGAGGACCGAACCCGGCGAAGGGCATGTCCGAACCCGAGGGCCGTGCCGGGCCGCTGGCTTGAGCCGAGCTTCTTTTTATTCGCGGCTGCATATGCGCAAAGGGAAATGAGCGGGTGCTGCACTCACTTCCTGAGCTCATGAACTTTAAACTTCTTGGGTTTGGACCATTTTAGTGGTACATGTAAAGTTTGGACTTTTTTTGGGCCATCCACTCGGCAAGTAAGTGCGCCCTTTTAAGATTCGTTAAAAGTTACCACGTCAACGCGAGGGTTTTGTTTCTTCCTGACTCAAGTATTTGGAATTTAGGTGGTTCTGATACTTGGTTTTATGTTGGTTTTTGTAAGGCCTATAAAACCCGTACGAACCCTTTGATTGCCGAGGGCACCCCTCGGAATTCCAATAGGGGCTCACGTCGACTCGTGAGGCTTATTAAGGCTTTTGCTTTTTCATTTGGTTGCCGTTCTGTGAGGGTTCAATTCTTCTTTGGGCGAGGCCTGACACTGACAACCATAAAGCTCGAGTGAGGCATGGAAGCAGAGTTCGCTTCCTGTTTCGAAGACGACGTGGACTACAAGTACTCGCTCGCGCGTGCTGCTGCGGATGGACTTGTACGTGGCCTCCGATGCTTTTTGATGCCGTTTTGGCCCCCCAGCGAGTTGCTTGGAAGCGAGTTCAGCAAAGGTTTGGGCAAATCAGAGCGATATCACGTTTCGGAGGTGGCGGCGTCACCTATGAAGGTTTCTTTCATAGGGATCCCTTATTTTCGGTTGGCGACATATGATCATTTGCCCATAAGGGTGTCCTTTTTAGATCAGCTTGCTTAGCAATAGATGGCACTGTCAGTTTGATTTGAATCATCTACCAGTGCCATAATTTGGTGCCACAAGGACATGCCCCGGGCCAGATATAAGGAGCTTACCTATCCGGGGGTAGAATGAACAAACCCCCATGTTGAATTATAGAGGTTCCCTTACGTCATTTAGATTTATCGGCATGATATTCTCAATTGCTCAGATCGCCTCCCCCCAAGAAATACGAGTTAGCAGGGATGTGGGAGATGTAAGTGCTCCTTTCCACCATTTACCGCCTTGCTTTCTAGATTTCTGCCTAGTCCCTTCCCATTGGTGGTTTGGATTTCCCATTGACCCTCAATTCGTTTAAAAAATTCAAATCCAAACCACCTGTTCAAATCTAAACCAGGAGGCCCCCAAAGCCACAAATTATAGAGTCAGGTGTTGCGACCTGATTGTCGACATGTTCCTTTACCAGGTTCTCATAGGCTTGCTCCCAGCCGAAGCCAACCCAAACACCCAGTGCTCACACACGTTTGTTTGGGTTTTTGAAGGGCGACTGAACACGTTCTGTTAAAGGGAGGGGGGGGGGTGGGTGGGCCCTTGGGGCCCTGGACGTTCATCCAGTATCCCAGGGATCAACTTCTCGCCGACCTCAACGATCTTCAGGTCAGCCCGTATTGGCGTTGGAGCTTTTGGTGTTTTCGGTTTTCAGGACACTGGCCGCTGAGTTCAAACGACGCCCAAAA